TGTTCCTGGAATAATCCTCTCTCCAGATGTTTCAGACCATTTCAGGAAGTCTTGGTGAGGAAAGTTTTTTGTGTGTGGCTGAAATATATTGGGCACCATTAAGGTGGTCTCTGGATTTGAGGATGACCTTTGCTCCTCTTGTTCAGAAACCAGATGGGGAGTAGCCTGATAAGACTCCAAAAGAGGTTAAACCTGTCCATTTTCTAGGAAGCATTCTTTCCATAATGTTTGCTGAGAGGCTGTGGAGCAGGTAAGGTAAGGGGAAAAGGAGTTGCTCTTCAGGAAAGCCTGTCCTTTTGAATGTTTTTTTTGTACTCCATTCCCAGGTCCATAACTCTACACTTCCTGATCCTACTTAACATGTGAGAGTGAGTCATGAAGTATTGCTGCAGTTACAAGACTTTTCTGAGGTTGCTCTCCAGCAGCCACTGAGTATTAGTGTCTCTCTTTCTCTGAGGTCTGCATGAGGAAATCTTGGACGTGAGCTGAGATCAGTGCTACAGGGAGCAGTTGTCTCCCAGAAGCACCAAAACAGATGTGTCTGTGCTCTCCAGAGTCACAGGTCAAGAACAGAGGCTCTCTTCTCCTGTGTCCCAAAGAAGAGATCAAAATGGCCTTACAATTCAAATACTGGGTTACTTTCATGTCCAAAACATCTGCCAGCTTGAGGAGAAGCCTTTAAGTAGGTAATGCAGTATAGAATCAGACCCTGAATAGGTCTTTCTTGTGTTAGCACAGAGAAACACTGTTCCTCTTTCATCCTTCGAGTTCATTGCCCTCCCTCTCCTAGCCTGTCCTCCTCGACCACGTGCTTTCTTCAAATTGCCAAGGACATTAATCTCACTTTTGTCACAGGATGATGCTCTTTTGTGCAAACATAAATGTTTAGAAAAGTTTACAAAAGATTAAGCTTCATCAAGTCAAGCATTCCGTGTCAGGACAACTCAGCAGGGAGCAAGACTCTGGGCTGCTGTGCACAGCTGTTGCAAGATCAAACTGGAACATTCATTTTGACTCCACCAACTTCACTGATCAAAACCACTTTCAAAGTTGACTGATGGTTTTTTTCCAGAGTGAAATCCTTTCTGTAAAAACAGCTTCTTCAGTGTGCAGGCTTCGTCTGTATTGTGAATCTTCTGCCTCAGTTTTAATGTTGTGATGCAAATTCCTAATGCAGATATGCTGTACTTACTGGAACAGTGAAAAGATTCCATGTTAGAGAAGTTATTAAGATGCAACTCAGAGCAAAAATAGTTGGGAGATCTGCCCACAGTGCTTGTGCTTTGATAGTTTGGGTTTCACTCTGTTCATCAGTACCTGAGAAAAATGATGCCATATTCCATATTAATGTAATACAGGGAGACTTCTAAAGACATAAAGAGGAAAACCCCATAAAAGTAAGAATATGAATAAAGAATATTGAGTTTGTGGGTTTTTTTTCCTAGTAAGGCAAAACAAACAAACAGAAGTCATTCCAGAATTTGTTCATCAAAATAGCAAGATTATAGAAACACACGCAAGGCTAATGCGTGTATGTGTGCAAACACATCAGCATATAGTTCTTTTAAGGGGCTGTGTCCATCTTCAGTCTCAAGCACTGACAGTTTGGCTTTCTGCTCCAGTGGGAAGTGGGTTTGTCATGCCAGCTAAAATACTATCTGCCTCTTGGACAGCTCACAAGTAACACCACTGTGGTGGTGATCGATATAAAAACAGCTGTCTGGCATGCTTTGCTTCAGTGTGGCTTTGCTGTCCCTTTCTAGCTAGGAGACCACAGGAAATCCTACCTTCCTAGAAAAATATCCTGCTTCCTCCTAAGGACCTGTGGACTAGGCAGCTTGACTTGACTGAGGGCAAGTTGAAAGAGAATAATCTTTCACAGGAAGTGGCTAAAGACTCATTGTTTGAGACACTGAGAACCACAGTGGGCAAAAAAACCAGCAGGTCTGGTCAAGTGTCAGTGATATTTTGGGCAGGAGTGTTGGACTAGAATGACCCCTAGAAGCCTCTTCTAACCAATGTTTTTATATTTTGATGAAGCCACAAAATCCAGCAAGTGTTTTCCATCTTTAAAATCTGTGCTTCTCCAATAAACATTGCTAGGCCTTGTATTTAGTTCCATTCTTTTAAAATAATCTTTTTCTGAGTTTTTAATTAAAGCTGCATATAATTAAAGTATTGATTTTATTGCAAGTTATGAAGTAATTATGCTGTTCTCTGGAAATACTAGAAATTTTTAAGCACTCTTCCAGCAAGCTGAATTGTCATCCCTTTAATACATTCAATATATTCCTGTAACTGAACACATTTCATGAACCTAAAGAGGTTATATTAGATTTAGTAATGAGAAATGTGCTTCAGGTTGTAGGTCTATGACTTTGATGACTAATAGAAATGGATGAATTGAAACTCACTCATCATTTAAACTTGCAAGTGTAGTTGAAAGTGACTTCATGGTTCAGGCTGAAGTACAATCTGTCTGAATTAAAAATAGGTTTGCTGTTTGCGGTAGATCTCATCCACACTTTTTTAGATCAAGGTTCAATGCAAAGGAGAAGTAAATCTGGGGAAGATATATGGTCTACATAAGATTTAGGTTAGTTTCCTTTTTGCAGTTTTGTCTCCTGAATATGTTTCCAAATTTGGATTTGCATCCTGCATCACCTGGTTGCAGTGAATGGGTTCTTGCTGGGCTGTGCTTGTGTGCAAAACAGAGATGGACCAAATAATGAAATTGTGCTCTCAAGCTGCATTTACTTGAAGCCATGTCATGCAGGTTTTTTCATCATATGAGCGTTTCTGGCAGGGGATGTCCACACACAGAGACTTGCCTGTAGAAGCCAATCCTTGCAAACTCTGCCTGTGCTTAATAGGGAGCAAACTTCCAAGCATACAGGGTCTGATGTGGAGGTGATTCAGGAGCCTGACTCTATGGGGAGTAATTTTTAGTCCTAGTGAGTAACCACTGAACAAGATGGGTGGTGAGCCCTGCTGTCCAGATATTTCATCTAGGCTGTAGCATGGCAGGGTGGGCTAAGCTTGAAGTAGTGTTCTTAACGATGTGCAGGTCTGTCAGCTGCAGGCAGTTTAGTAAAGATGTATGTCTCTCAGTATGAAACATCATCACTGCAGAACTTGGTGGAGTCTTTGATAACAGCATGTAGGTAATTCCTGGTTTCCTTAGGAAACAGATAATACCAAATATCAAAGTTGTATCAGTTTACTATTGCATCACCTAGAAAAGAAATTGGAAAAAAATGATACATTTAATATCAGAAAGATGCTCTATCTCCCACATCGATAAAGCCAGAAAAATGAGGAGATCTCTGTAAAAACTGTTGATTGGTTTCAAGCGCTTCTTTTCACTAGAAACTTTAAACTAGAAGAATTAGGATCAGAAAAATGAGTTGCTGTGAGATGATGATTATTTTCCATGATTGTGGTAGCATGCACAAAGTAAAGGAGGCTTTCCAAACCAAGAAGAGGATATAGCCCCTGCCTGTTCCAAAATGCATGAATTTAAAGAGGCAGGCTAGGGAAGAGGAGGAATGAAGCTACAATATAAAAAGCAGGCTGGGTAATGCAAGCCATGTATCTGATGTATTACAGCTCATAGAAAGTGATAGCAACTTTTCTGGAGGAGAAGCGAATCAAATTTATTCCTGTTTAGTACAGGATGTGTTTTGACCAAATTTTTTTGTGTGTATGCATTTTCATTTTAGGATATTATTTTTATTTTCTCAACATTAATTTTTAAGAATAGAAAACAAATGTTATGGTTTTGGGTTTTATAAAGATACTTTATTGTGTAGAAAGGACAAATGCAGGAAATTTCCGTGTAAAAATAATGTTTATGAGATCCCAATTATTTCTGCTAGGTGCAGAAATAGTCAAACTTATTCCTAAATGAGTAATTCTCTTCAAACTGGGAGATGGGAAAAAAAAAAAGAAGTTTTGCACTCGAAGTCTATATTTTAGTCATAGAGAAGTTGGAGCAAGACATTCAAAAAAACCCATGAAACAAACAAAAAGCTCAAATGTAGGTGTACAAAACACTTGAGAAATAAAAGCCATGTAAATATTATCTTTCCTTATCATTGTGTCCGTGAAGAGCAGGTCCTTTCTTCCAGGTTTCTTTTCAGCTCAATGACTTTCTGGGTTGCTGCAAACTCTGTGTAGTCCCTCTGGGTCTCATGTGACCCAGTTGCCCTCTTTTTGGAGGAACATGCCAAAATAACACGAAACAAATGACTAAAACAAATGCCATATGTCACTGCTTGCAAGATTAAAGTTCTAGTTCAAATGGTGTCTTTGAGGAATGTGCATCTATTGACAGTGGAAATATTTTAACAAAAGAACCTGGAAAATCAGAAGTATATAAAGCAAATTGCAAGAAAGAAAGTATGCATCATTCTTCCTCCCACTACGACCCCATTTGACATCTAAATCTTTAATTTGTTTCCTATTTAAAGGGTGACCAGTAGTAACTTCCCAATTTTTAAGGTAAATAGGGAGAGACACTTTTAGTAATGTCTTTTTTTTATTGCCTACTCATTAGAAGAATTGCTGCTAAAGACTAAGGAAGCTTTTTAAGATTGATTTAAACCATGATTTGTGGGGAAAATGAGAATGTACATGGAGAGAAGTTCGCTGGAGCCTCTATAGTAGAGATTTGAGTACATGCCACTCTGCTAGCAAGGTTTCTGATGGGCACACCAAGCTGTGCACTGTCTTTTTTATTTCAGCTTGCATATTCTGTCTTTATCTAGTCATATCTTGATGTTCAATAAATAGAAGTACCAGACTTTCATCTCCTGACAATTAACCTTCCTAGTCAGCAACAGCCATGTGCAATATTTGGACTAGCATTTGTTTCTGTTTTCAAAATGTGCTGCATGATTGTAGCATCACAGAAGACAAGATTTAAATAAACAATATGTTTCCTTAGGATAACAGTTCTGATTTGATGATTTTGGGTTTTTTTGTTGTTTCCTTGGCAGGAAGAAGGTATCGTGAAGGAAATAGACATCAGTCATCATGTCAAGGAAGGTTTTGAAAAAGCAGATCCTTCTCAGTTTGAGCTGCTGAAAGTATTAGGACAAGGTTCATATGGAAAGGTAATTTCTATCATCATCTAATAACCTAGAGCAACACTGAAAATACCATGTCCCTTCTCTGAGTTCATTTACACTGGTAATCTTGTCCATATATAAATTATATAAGCAAAGCCTTTCTATCTTCATTCTAGTAACTGTTTTGTCTTTTAGCTAGATTCCTGCATATAAACTAGTTTAGGAAATAGTCCTTATTGCTCTGGACCCGGATTAATAAACATAAGTGATCATTAGTGAGCATCACTGTTCAGAAAATTAGATCCTCCTACCCCTTTCTGATCTATCCATCAGGGAGGTGATTGTGCCACTGCTGCTTGGTTAGAGGATATATATATAGGAACATTCAAAGTCTTAAAGTAGTTAGCAGCACAATTCCAGCTGAGGGTAAGGGGTACTTTAAACATGCCAAGTCCCAGGTTGCTGCTTATCTCACCCTCAGATGCCCTGAGAGCATCCTGGAGGTAAAGCCCAGTGCAGAAGACAGCAATCATTATGGTGAGCGCATAGGGGAAAAAACCTGCCTGTGTAACCACAAACTAATTTGTGGAGAAATTATATTCTCCACATACCTTAAAACCAAGGATTATCTTAATCCCAAAGACAGTTCTTC